TAATATATTTAACCAAGTTTAGAACGGTAATTAATTGAGCTACCTATTTATGCTGTATTGTAAATTTATGCTAAATATAGGGGGGGGCAGCTTTCGGGGAATTCCCGTAATAGGGTTTTCGCGAAATACTCGAGTTCTCTAAGGGGTTAGGTGAAAAGTTTTACCTTTGTGTAAACCTCGGGACCGAGACAATTCGTTTGGTACCACTTAGAAGTCTGTGCGATTTAAGAGGAGCTACGTAACAAACACACAGACACTGAATCCTATTATATAGAATGCAGTACTCATATTTTCGGGTACAATCGTTCCAATGATGTCATTATTCAAGAATCACGTTGTTAACAGTAAAAGAGATAAATATGTCAGATTATTTATAGAAGCAAATTAAAATTATGTGTCACAAATTCTAAAAATCAGAAAAAAATATTGCGTTGAGTACACTATCTGCAGAACTTTATCCAAAGTAAAAATGTCAAAAGAAATGTTTTAAAATCAGAATTTAAGTTTAATCACCTTGATTTATATATGCAGAAATAAACAAATCATATACTAGCCAAGAGTGAGAAATACTTATGTATTTGGTAATTAAATAAATTTCTTCGTCTTGTAGGTTCTAAACCGGTGGCAGAATGCGCTTAAAAAGGTGCAGGGAAGATGTTGAGGTTTTAAAGCTAATATCCATTATTGACTATATATATATTTGCAAGTTATTTGAATTTCTCTATGAAATAATAAGGTACGTAAGTTTAATCAACACTCTTATACAGCAAATAGTTTCGAATTCATAATAATGAATATTATCTAATTATAACAAAATGGTTTCTCAATTGTCGAACCAGTCATTGCTTATCATTCACAACAAGTTTATTTAAAAAGTCCTGACCGGTTCTTAAAAAGATTATTAGAGAAATATTATTAAAGCATTCCAGACTTGTTAGTATTAGTTTCACTGACATTATCTATTTGTATAACTTACATTGTTTTTCTTGAATGGTTTTCTTCCAGGGTTTCACAGGAATCTATTTGTATAAAAAACAACAACAACACACAATCAAAGTCTTAAAGCCTAAGACAAAAAAAAATACACGAAGCAAGTCTGAAAATCCAAATATTCTTAATTAATTATTCAACTTCTAGTGTTCATTATATGAAAAACTTATGCACCAAGTTGTGCAAAACGTAAACAGAAAACATTTGTATGATTAAGTATTATCGAGACTAAACACTATTTATATAAACAATAAATATGCTATATTCAATAAGTTGTTACACTTAATTTCATTTTCATTGAAACTTTATATTCCTTTACTATAACTAAAATTACATTATCCATGTCATACCTGTTGAAAACAAGATTATTTATAGGAGACCTGTCCTTTGTAATAGCCTTGAAGTGGCTTAGCGTTAAGTCTGAAAACTTATAACGCTAAAACTTGGGTTTCGATACCCGTGTTTAGCACAGCACAGATAGCCCCTTCTGTAGCTTTGTGTTTAATAACAAACAAACAAACAAAATTATTTGCAATATCTCTAAATAATACAAAGACACAAGTATGAATAATTATACTTTTTCAATAATAAGCCTACAGTTAAACAGCTTTTATACAAAAAATAGAACACTTACCTTGACTGTTTTGGTTATCATCTTGTTATAAAACAAATCTGAATCAAGTACATGTACGAAGTTGTTAAATTCTTCATCTTTTGAATAAATGGAATTGAAAAATAAAATATATTGAAATTGTTTGCTCATAAAAAAAAGTATTAGGCCTAAACTACTGTAGTTAGTACCTTACCAATTATTGTATGTAATGATTAGGCCTAAATTGCCTAGGCCTACTTAAAAGTTCTATTTGTAGAGTCCCACCTTACCTGAAATATTGTTTTTTCTTCATCCATAATCAGCTGTAGATCTTCAATTCCATAAATAGCATTTTTAGATCCACTAATGTGTTTCTAGGAACGTTTAGTTTTCCTTTTCTTTTACCACATATTAGCAAAACTAATGCAGATACCGTCTCATCGGTTTACATTATTGCGCGGTTAAGAGAAAGCAAACACAGCGAAGTGAAGTTTCATAAAAAAGAACGCCAACGTAGAATTATGTTGCTGGTTAACGAACGAAAAACGTTATAATAACCTCTAAACTTATGCGCGAAGATTGTTTATTTAAAAATTTGAAAAATAATGTTCAGTTTAAGAATTTGCTATTACTAAACTTATTGTTAATAAAATTTCGTATTATGTGTTCTGACAGTATTTTTGCATCGTATAATTCACACTTCACATTCTCTAGTTTTTTAAAACGTCAGCCCAGTTTGAAAGCTTATTGTCAAATACTGTTAGTATCGTGACTATAATACAGGCCCTGAATGTTTGTGTATAGATTCATGGTGATATAATTGTATCCTTTTTTGATAAAATATGTGTAATACTTTGTAATATTCTGTCAATATTTGTGATTGAGACTGGAATTTTATAATTGTTTTACTTAGAAACTGAAAAATATGTTGTTTTTCCTTAGCAGAGTCATACACTTAAGCATAGTTCTCTATGTTTTGATGTAATTTTCTTTTAACTCTCAAGGGTCTCCTGCATCATGTTTGTTTCACATATAATCAAAAACCAAATTTTAGCATCACTTATGAAGTGCAGAAATGCTCAAAAACATTCACAAATTTTTGTAATCATTTTTATCCTACGCACAAAAATAGTTTGGAGCAATTTAATAATCACCAATTATTTCACTTTCAATTGTTTTGAAAATGAAAATAAGCGTATTATTGAAACTGATACATATATGGTTCTGATCCCATACCTATCCAGTTTTGTGAACCATTTTTTAGGTTTAAAGAAACTCACTCAAATGGGATCTTCAAATGCAATTTACTGAAATCGCCACACATTATTTATGGGCATTATGACATTGCAAATTCATATCAGAAAACTATAAAACTATTTATTCTTGAATTCTTGAATTCTTTTCCACGTGTATATTTTCACGGTAATCATTTATAAATACAATAACTATAAATGCTATTATAAAAGGATCCCTACAGCACCCATTATCAACCAGTATGCACTTGTAGAGTTATAAAGTACATATTTTTATCTATTCGTATATATGTTGTTTATTCATACTACTTATTATATTTCATTTAAATTTATGAATCACATATAGGTTATTTGATAGCTATTGAGATTAAGAACACTTTGTAATTCTAATTGAATATTATCTATTTTTTAAAATACAATTGAATTTACATTTCAGTTTTTTGTTATACAAAATGTAGTTGTAATCATAACAGCGTAAGTCATGCCAAAATACAGTTCACCATTGGGAAATAAAGACCTTTTATATCTTTATTGCTACTCCTTTCAAAAATTCACAGGGGAGGTAAAAAAAAGACTTTATACAGAAGATAAGAAAAGTTTTTTATTAAAGGAATAAGCTAACATAACTACAGACATAACAGATGTATTATATAAATATTTCCACCCTTTAACAGAGCAAAAAGTGAAATAGAAAGGAGTAACCTTATAATTTACACCCAAAAATTCTACGAAACACCTTTTTTCTTCTGATATTGTATATGCAGATCGTTATCATAGTAAAAAAAAAGACTTTATACAGAAGATAACAAACGTTATTCTTTAAAGGAATAAGCTAACATAACTACAGACATAATAGATGAACTATAAATATTTCCACCCTTTAACAGAGCAAAAAGTGAAATAGAAAGGAGTAACCTTATAATTTACACCCAAAATTCTACGAAACACCTTTTTTCTTCTGATATTGTATATGTAGATCGTTCTCATAAATTGCCATTAATCCTTTGTGTAACACAATCGTTTTATTGAAAATATTCTGAAATGTTCATTTAATATAACTGAGAAATAACTTTTATCATCATGAAATGTTTTATTAAATAATGTCTTAAAATTTTATACCAGAAAAACCATAGTAAGGTATTTCAATAAATGCTATTTACGCAACATTAAGTAAACTGAATATTTCTTTCATAAGTGCAAATAAACATAAATAAAATAAACTTACGTTATATCTGTTAATGCAGCATCTTTTTAACTTAGCTTACTATACTGAAGTTTTGTTGTTTGTAAAGATTTCCCAGGTATTGTTAGGCAATAAAATACTATATTCATTTACACTGCCTAATTTGAAAGTGTAAGGATATGACATTTATAGGTCCACCTAGGATCATATGGGACGCTAATAAGTTATATGGATCATATTTGTATGAAGTTCAAAAGTATATTTTCACTTTAAAGGACATCGATAATTGAAATAAGTCATGACAATTAGCGATGAGGTTGAGCAAACACAGAAAATAAAGTACACGTTAAAAAATGAGTTGTTGGTCAGCTCTAGGCTCTCGAAGTGACTACTTTTCTGATTAATTGTTAAACGACATCTTTATGGTCGAAAAATCAGTAATACTAAATACTGTATGTACAACGTAAACATATTGGTAGCTATGGATAGATTTTATTTGGCGATTCATATGATCTGTCCGACAAAGTACAAACAAACTGAAACATCAACTTTATTGAAAAATAACCCTGACATCAATTTAAAAACCAGTTACTTTATTAAAAATACGCAACTCATAAGTTTTGTACACATAACTTTTCTTTTCTGATTTTATCTCATTATACGTCGTTGTCAGATGATTAATGGCATATCAGTGATTGGTACCACAGCCCTTATTAACACACCATTAGCAGTAGCTGATGACCTAGGACACAGAGGTCATAGAAGTTTTTAGTAGTTTCCCCTGTGCACATAAGTAAAACTATTTATTATAACCGTATGATTTCAGTAGCTCTTCTGGTAAAAAAATGTTATTTCATAGTTTTAAGTATGAATAACTTGTCAAACCTTCTATTAATATAAACGACTTTTGATCAGGCGACCTTACTATTAGAGAAAAATCAAGTTTAATTGCAGAAACAAAGTAAAAAATATTCCTTCTTACTGTTCGGTCACCAAGATGCCTAACTCGGCATGGGAGGTAAACTGTTTTCCTAGGCGTGGTAGTGATGTTAGTTGCTGTGCCACTGTCAAAGTAGGGTTGAATATCGCCATCGAGGACATTTCGCGTCAAAGATCTAGTCTTGTGAAAATGTCGGGTCCTAGGTGACTGTTGAACTCCAGCACCTACATTATTAATGAAGACAAAGATTATTCAAGAAAATAATCGCTAGGTGGCTGCTTATGTGAACTAAAAATAATGTTAATAATTTAGTTGAAGTTGAATAATATAGTATATGATATACATATACGATACCTCTTGAATAAAAACATGAAATCTGAAATCCAAATATAGCTTCTCAATTGTGTTCTTAATATAAACACATTAACAATTTAAAAGTTTACTACTAACTCATACGCTTTAGTCAGAAAATAATCGCTAGGTGGCTGCTTATGTGAACTAAAAATAATGTTAATAATTTAGTTGAAGTTGAATAATATTGTATATGATATACATATATGATCCCTCTTGAATAAAAACATGAAATCTGAAATCCAATTATAGCTTCTCAATTGTGTTCTTAATATAAACTCATTAACAATTTCAAAAGTTTACTAACTAACTCGTACGCTATTGTTTAAGCACAAAAACAAATAAACCTATCATCCCGAAGTAAACACAGCTACTAAACAGAATGAAAAATCTAAGGCATCAAATAACAAAGCTTCGTGTTGTCAAGGGAATCAAGCTTTGTTAATGCATATGTACTGAAACTGTTTGAAACAGTAGCTCATGTTACTAGTGAAGTAATAACAACGCCCTAACGAAGCTTATAAACTAGAGCTAACATTTACCTAAAAAGTGAATATCATTAAACATTCTAATTACAGTAGACCAAAGTCAGATTACGTTAAGCAAACAAACCTAACAGCATGAGAAACAAGCTTACGTAACTTTCAAAATATAGTGACCAAGTTATTATGTTTGTTTACGGAGCGAATTTACATGTACAACTTTCAGTAACTGTAAACTTTTAGTCAGCAAAGTCTATTTTAGAACAAATAGAAAAATCAATAACTTTATTTGTTTTGACAAAAAACAACATAATTATCTACACACAGAGTGTACAGGTTTACCTGGCTTGCAGGCTACACCATTTATTAGTATATTATGGTGACTAACTAAATTGTGAGTGTATTTATTATTAGTTTTAGAAATAAACCTCCACAACACATCCACAAGATACATTGTGTGAACATGTAGACCTTATTTAAAATCACCGAGCACTATATATTGTATGATTTATCTTGAGAAGTTGTTTGTGATAAAAGGCCAAGTCAAAAACACCTAAGGTTCAGGCACAGCAATCCCTAACTTAGAACTGCTGACCTGAGATAAACCAATCAATTAGAAGCCCCCGTCTCCTCTGCGACTACTCCCAAACAAAAAGCAGGACTGATTGTCACCTTTATAAAGCCCACGCAGCTGAAAGTTGGGAGGATGTTTAGTGGCATATCACAACTCAAGTCTTGGACCATCTGCGCCGTAGCCACGCATGATAATCACCGTTCAATTCCACTCAATTTATCTTAAAACGACACTGTATAATTGAAAGCAAATTGGTTGTAAAATACATTATTTGTTCCATTAACAGATTCGAAATAAGTGTGGTTCAAAAGCCACTACCTAAAACAACACTGTGGTATTTAAGTGCTGGAATTGTGCTTATGAAAAGTCACAAAACAATAACCAATATGACATATGAAACTGTAGAAGTATCATGCACCCTCCTGGAATAAAACGTGAGGGTACGAGATGAATAAAACACAGCGCGAAAATCTGCCGTTACAGAGGATTACCAAGAGAAAACAGAAAGCTTTGGACCTATTTCATACTTGAATGATACTTGTTCAAAAATATAACATTTTCATAACCAGATAAATATAAACGTGTTCTGTAAATGATCTTACAAAATATTTTCAAAACAGTTTTGTGAAAATAAAAATTATTATTATAATTATTTCACCATATTGTTTTATCGTCTGCTGGAATTTGTTTTTCTAGCTTGTATTACCTTAAAATGGAAAGCTAATGCCAGATTATTTAGGTTTTATTGTTTTTAAAATGTTCAAAGTCCAGTTCTTAACTTCTTTCCTTAGAACAATTTAAAGTTGGGTATACAAATATAAATTCGTAATTCACTCACTGTGGTAAGTACAATTTAAAACGGAAAATAAATGTTCAATGCATCTTCTTGATGTGAAGCTTTTAGAATTACCTGATTCATATTATTGTCCTTGATTAAATCAAATAAACATTTTCCAGTTGTATTTGGTTTTTAACTTTATTAAGATTTGTATTGCATATTTCTGTTTGTATTTCTGTATCCACCACATAGAATTGAATCCTGGGTTTTAGCGTTGTAAGTCCGTAAACTTTTAGCTGTCCCACCGGGGGACAAATATTTCTGACTGTAAAGTCCGTTTGACCTTACATGAACATTCAAGTGTAACTGAAGATTTCTTTAACCACCCATATTTTTATTTTTAGTTTATACATTTAGATTAAAGCCATCATTTAATTCATAATGACAATTTTCAACAAGTAACCATAAATAAATCAGTGGATTATCTTAAATAGGAAACAACTGTAATTAATTGATTGATTGTTTTTAAATAGTGATACAAATTATGTCTAACAAAGAAAGTACAAGCTCATTACACAAGTTATTTGCTTAATGTGAATTGACAACATAACATGTGTTCCAAATGCACCGTTATATCTTATGCGAGGGACATTAAAATTTTTTATTGAAGATTCTGACAGAAAATGCTTATCTTTGTAACCAGCAAGTATAATACGTTGAAGTGAAGACTTTTTAAATAAATGTTTTATTAGTATCACCCAGTGTAACAAACTGAATTATCTCCTTTTGTCAAACCTATTGTTTATAGAACAAAGAAATCTATCACGACAACTAACTTTAAAGTCGAACTACAGTACTGTCGAAACTAAAGTGTTATTTTAAAATACATTTCAGAAACCACAATTTATAGGAGTTGGTACTTCTAAAAGAATTTTGAAACTGACTTAAATAGCGAATAAATAATTCATCTATTACAGATAGAAGAAAAGTGTTAATATTAAAAACTTCAGTCCATTTAACAAAGGTCTGAGATGATATTACTTTTTATATTTTTAATCTATAAATTGTTTGTTTGTTATGGATTTCGCGCAAAGCTACACGAGGGCTATCTGCGCTAACCGTCCCTAATTTAGCAGTGAAAGACTAGAGGCTACTCTTGGGCTACTCTTTTTACCAACGAATAGTGGGATTGACCGTCACATTATAACGCACCACGGCTGAAAGGGCGAGCATGTTTGGTGTGACGGGGATTCGAACCCGCGACCCGCAGATTGCGAGTCGAGCGCCCTAACCACCTGGCCATATATAATAAACATGTTTGTTCTGATTAGCTGTCAAGATATAACACGCATGACCTAAGAGCTTACCTTAGTGAAAATACTTTCTAGTTTTGACTTGACGTAATAAGAAAATTATAATAAGCTTTAGCTGTCAACTTAACTGTAATCTTACAGAACATCAATAAGCTTTCGAATTCTGCACTTCAGTCTGCACCTAACCTTGGAATGTTAGATGTTAAATAAACTAAGGGATCTTGCTTCTTTGAAGTCGAAAGTTCAATGCATTACGTTATGAACGTATGCGGTATTTTAAAGTTATTCGAATCTCTTACTCTACATTAATAACGTTGGTATGATAATGTTCATCTAAGGTGAAAAATATTAATTTTGGCACAAAATAACATAAGAATACTTTTCTCCCAAATTAACTTTACTTAATTTATTAATAATAACAGCTCGCATAATATGCTCGTTTTAAACTCTCACGGGCAATTAAACAAAATAAAAAGTTATTCAGTGTGTATTTACAGGAATCTAGTCAGAGACAAGAGAACGTCTCTACAAAAATCAGATAATAAGTAATAGCTAAAGTGTTCAACTAAACCACTGAGCTTTAGAGGAATGATAAGACACAACAGGGTATAGAAATTATGCATAAAGAGGTAATGATGTTTTTGTTCTCTGTACATGCTATATAAAAGCCTTATTCAGTTCAACGTATATACTTACATCAGATTATACAATGTACAAATTTATTATGCTCTACTTTAACGATATACACTTATATCTAAAACATAATATGGTATAGCGTAAAACTCAGAAACATATTTAGTGCTCTGATGCTTCAACATATGTTTATTGATATGCAGATTGTATAAGTTCATAAGCCTACAATGTGACCGTTCTTGTGTTTCTTGTTTTCATAAGATTTAACTGATTGTTTGATTGCCTCAAGAATATTCTTGAATAAATATTGTGTTTCTCATAAAACTCTAAATGAACATATTCCAAAAACACCGAAATTGTTATAATCCAGGTAAAATTTCAGTAACGGGAAGATTATCGTTTAAAAAAGAAAAAAACAACTTATCAATTTAATTCTTTATAAGCATGAAGATAGCACACGTTTTTGATTAAAGACAATAATTGGTTCGAAAGTTTTAAAGTTTAAGGGTGAAAAAGGTTGATTCATCATATCGTTTTTGTCTTGAGTTGTATTTTCAATTACAATGGTAAAAATTTAATGACCAAATAAACATAAAAACATCTATATGGCTATTGGAATAGCAAAATGTAGCTAAACATCAAATATTATTTAATAAATATATGTAATATATTGATGAATGAATTTTCCTGTTTAGTATTTTGCATTATAAACAATTTAAATAATAAATAAAAACGTTTATTTATCTTTTAGTCACATTTCAACCTTATAATTTGGATTATATTGGAAAAGTAAGGAAATTTCTAAATTTTGCTTATTAGATGTTTCATTTAAGATAAATGATGAGTGTTATTAGTTAGCTAGAATTATGAAAATAATTTATAATTAGAACTTACCTTTTAAAACATATGAAAAAGAGAAATTGTGAATGATTTTAAGTATAACTACGCTGACATATAAATACGATAGAAGAACTGAAGATCTTTATTCATGTGTAAACAATCACTAACTACTTTAAACTAATCTAATTTAACCTTACTACAACTGTCTTCAGTATTTAATGTAGTCATCACAAAATACGTCAACCTCTATTAA